GTATTTGTGATGTCTAAACTTAACCAAGTATTTGTGATGTCTAAACTTAACCAAGTATTTGTGAAGTCTAAACTTAACCAAGTATTTGTGAGGACTAAACCAAACCAACACAACATATTTTGATGTTTCAGAAGTAGAAGTGTTTCCTGTCTCAGGTGTTTTAGGTGTTTTGGTTTGACGCTGTTGGAGTGAAACAGGTTTTTAAAATGAGGTGTTGTCATTAAATCAGTCTCAGACTTGAGTTCAGTTTTACATCTCAGGTTTAACATTTAAATATTATAAACAGAACGTCAGCTGGTAGATTTCAGCATCAATACTCTGACTGAAGCGTGGCTCCAGCTGAGATCATGAGCTGAAGAGCTGCTTCTGTGATTTTCCTTTAAAGGAGCGAAGAGAGACGATCAGTGTCGGTAAAGCTTTCTGTTCTCTCTAATCAGACTCTAACGAGGCTCACAGGTCAATCGTTGAGCTCAGCGGCGGAGCTGCCGTTGCTACACAGCACTGAAGTTGGTACCAAACATTCGTCCAATTAAAACCAGTCTGGAGAGCTAACGATGGGTTAGCAAAGCCTGGGTGACAAGAGACGACTCGTCTCGTCTAAAGGTCCACATTTAAAACATCCGCACTCTGTGAACTTTACTGGCTTTTGTTGTTGCTTCTTCTCAGGTAACTACTGACAAAACCAAGAAGTCCTCACAAATATGCAACGTCTATGTTTCAGTGTTGGATTGTTATGCTAGGGTTAAATTATCTTTCATTTTGACAAATCAGCTGATTTATACAAGTTAATGGATTTATGTGTGAAAAATACAAGTTTTCAGACCAACAGTTGGTTATTTTCAGCATCTTCTGAAGACCAACTCTGTAATCACACCTGTTGGTCATCAGGTAATCATCTCCTGTCCTCATGGTGGAGCTACTTTTAAGAAGGAAATTACTGAAGTCCCACCCAAATAGTTTCAAAATAGATTTTGATCGGATATTTTTTATTGTAAATTTGAACTTTAGACATTTTAGACCAGAGGAGTCCAAAGTGAAA